AGGGAGAGGGACAAGCAGACTCCTGGCGGAGAGCAGAGCCCGACTGGGACTCGAGCTCATGACCCTGAGATCATGACCTGAGCTGAAATCAAGTCGGAGGCTTAACCAACCGAGCCACCCAGGTGCCCCACAAGTATCTTTTTTTTTTTTAATTTAAATTCAATTTAGTTAACATACACTATATTATTAGTTCCAGGGGTAGAATCCAGTGATTCATCAGTTGCATATAACACCCAATGCTCATTACATCACGCAGTTACCCCATCTTTCCACACCCCTCCCCTCCAGCAACCCTCAGTTTGTTCCTATAGTTAAGAGTCTCTTACGGTTTGCCTCCCTCTCTGTTTTCATCTTACTTTATTTTCCCTTCCCTTCCCCTATGTTCATCTATTTGGCTTCTTAAATTCCACATATGAGTGAAATCATATGGTATTTGACCTTCTTTGACTGACTTAGAAGTATCTTAATTCTAAGCAGCAAATGCCCAGGTAAATTATCAGGGGTTCTATTCCCTTCAACCACTGGAGGCAGTGGGGGCGGGGACAGGAGCGTGGAGGACAGTGAGCAGTCTCTGCTACCACCGAGGAGCTGTGTGCCCTTGGGCAAGTCCCATAGTTTCTCTGAGCTCCTGCCTGGGGCTGTAGGATGGTGTCTCCAATGGGGGTATAGGAAGGCCGTCTCCGGGGCCTCTCCATGCCCTGACATTGGGTGACCCTGCAGCAGTGAGCTGGGGGAAGCTAGAACCAAGGATACCAGAGGATCCGGTTTCAAAGTTGCTTGTTCCAAGACTTACAGATTTGCAAGAGCATTAAACCTGATTATTGATTTTCAACCTGCAAACTGATGAACACAGCCTGGAAGTCTGTTAGGGGGATGAGCTGGATGTGCCTGGAACCTAACCAGCAAGGAAGGGCTGTGGTCCTGGAAAAAGGGTGGATGTGCCCGCGCAGGGGGCGGTGGGGGAGAGGAGGGGAGGAGGACAAGGTGACAGGGGCTGGGAGGGGGTGGCCCAGGTCCTCCTGAGACTGGCGGCAGCTGAGGGGACTGACACAAAGGTCACAAAGTTGGCAGGGCTAGAGGACCCAAGCTGGGGATGGATGCCATGGGGGAGGGACAGTGGGCAGGGGGTGAAGTGGCCACCAGGAGCCGAGATGGCTGTCTGGGGACAAGGGAGGATAGCATGTTGCTTTTCCTCATAACGCCTTCTATGACTTTCTTTTTCCTGCTGTGATCCAGGCCTGGGGCTGGGGTCAGGGAATGTGTGGTGTCTGAAACCAAAGGGCATACTCAGGCAGGTGGCACTCGGAGGGGCCCCATGCTGCTCCCTTCCTGTCCCCTTGCCCCCCCCCCCCCGCAAGGTGACCCTGGCAGGCAGGCGGCAGGGAAGTGTGTACCTGTGACAGCGGATTTCTTCGTCGTTTTCCAGGCCTGAGGAAGCACCAAGAGCGCCTGCATTTACTGTGGGACCGAGTCAGGGGCCCAGGGAGGCAAGAAGGACCTTCTCCCGATTTCGAAATGGGGGCTTAGGATGTTTCATACAAAAGACATGTGACCCTAGTGGTCAAGAACAGGATTCTGGGCCAGACCACCTTTATTCAAATCTGGAGTCTTACACCCACCAGCTGAGTGGCCCCCGGCAAGTCACATAGCCCCTCTGTGCCTCCTACTCCTTATCTGCAAAACCAGGAGCTGTGAGGTTAAGTGAGATCCTTTACTATTTTTTTTTTCCTTTTCTTTTCCCCAGAGAGAGAGGGGGAGAGAGAGAGAGAGAGAGAGAGAGAGAGAGAGAGAGAGAGAGAAGGCACATGGGGGGAAGGGCAGAGGGAGAGAGGGAATCCCAAGCAGGCTCCACACCCAGCTTGGCGCCCAACTCAAGCTCGATCCCACGACCCCGAGACCTGAGATCATGAGATCATAATCAGGCTTAACTGACTGAGCCAACCAGGAGCCCTGAGTGAGATCCTTTCTGGCAGCGCTCGGAACAGCTGACGTAAGTACTTAGTGAAAGCTATCAGTACGATTGGCATTGAGTACGGTCAGGGGCAATGACAGGAAACATGAGGGATTATTGCCCTCTGGCCCCCGAGCCGGCCCTGACGAAGCCGAGGACACGGGCCACAGGGCAGCCTCGCGGGTAGGCCAGGTGCCTGCCTGGCTTCTCCTGGGGAGGTGGAGGCAGGGAGGGTGTGGAGGTGAGGCTGGCGTAAACAGCTTGCCTGCCCTCGGGCAACCCCCCCCTCCAAACCCTTCCTTATACCAAGCTCAAGGGCAGTCCCCACACAGGCGCTCTGAGGGGGACAGGGCTGGTGAAGGCTTCTGGGGTCCTCTGATCCCGTAAGCCTCAACTGCTGTGGAGAGGTGACCTCCAAGGGGACTGGGGTAAACAAGGGAACACCTCAGGGTGCAGGTTGGGGCACGAGCATCAGGGAAGCCCAACACAGTCCTCCCCTCAGGGATGCAAGGCCGGGGACCGCTGTCCAATCCTGCCCCCAGCCAGGCCCCTGGACCAAGACCCTCGGGGGCCTCCATGGTCTCAGCGGGCCCAGGCTCAGGCCCAGCCCGCTCTTTTGGTATCTGAACCCCTCTCTTGTGGGTTCTTGATGTGGACAACTTCCTTCCTCAGGCCGGAGAGGAAGCAGGACCGGCTCACCCTCCTCCCACGGCAAGACCTGGTGCTTCTCTGTTCCTCTACCCGTCAGCCTGGCTGTGAGGGCCACAGCATCTCCACCTGCATCTTGTCAGGGCCCCAGTGCTCGAGACCCACTGACCCAGCTTCAAATCAATTCTGCCATTTCAAGGCTGTGTGGCTTTAGGCAAGTCACTTGACCTCTCTTAGTTCACTTCATTGGTAAAATGGAGATAACGTGGGATTCTTGTGAGGCTGTGAATTGCATCTGTTGACTGATGTGTTTCTGTCCATTCAGACTTTCCTGCTTTCCACGAGCACTTGCTGGGAAGCCCTTAGTGCCCTTGGTGTTCCCTCCCCAGAGGGGAGCAGAGGGGCCTGCCCTCGGGGGTGCCTGCTTCTGTGAGAGGGATGGCCGGTGAGCAGGAGGTCTGGCTGATGTGAACACCAGGAGCTAGGATAACATGGGACAGGGAAGTTCATTCTGACTGAGGAGGTACAGGCAGAAATCTGCAGGGCGGACAGGTGGGGCTGGGAAGGCAGGGGCAGAGCGTAAGCAAAGGCACGAGGTGTGAATATTTAGGAGTGGCAGGCAACAGAATGACCGAGCCGTGTGCAGGATCTGGCCGTGGGGGCACAGGAGGGGTCTGGGCAGGTAGGGAGGTGCCATCTGCAGAGATGGGCTGTGGGGAGGGACTGGCAGGGAGGTCAGATGGGGTTGAGGGTGACCTTGGGCTCCCAGGATACATATGGAGAAACAGGCCATGGGCAGAACCTGAACTTGAGGCCAGCTACGGCCTTCCAGGGGCCTCTGCTGCTTGCCCAGCCTTCCACCCCCGGGGGTGGGAGGGCAACATCCTAAAACCCGGCCCCACAATGGACCTAGATTTTGTGGAAGGTTCCAGATGTTTAAATACCAGCCTCCAGCCCCACCCCTTTGAAGTTCTTGGCTCCAGCCAAATTCTCTGTTCCACCTTCCCAGGGCCACCTGGCTAACGCAGGCAAGGAGGGCCTGGGCAGGCCACACACCAGGCTGGCTCTTCCCTGCTGTTAGCTGGTCCTCAACACACAGCTTGAGGTGGAGATGTCCCCATTCCCCAGACTGGAGACTGAGCCCTGGGGACTTGTGAAATGCTGGGGCTTTGCTCGGTCCCCCAGAGTCTTACGTAGCATAGACCACCGGGCCCCAGAGTGGGTCTATGCCAAGTGGCCAGCGGGCCGGGCCCACCCCTTGGGGCTTAGATTCCCTCCTCTGGGCCTGGACCCAGCCCCAATATGGGGCTCACTGAGGGTCTGTGGGGTCCAGGATCCAAAGAGGATATCACTTCACGCGCTAGTCAAGGATGCTCCTCCCAGCGCCTACAGAGACACAGAGGCTGCAGCATCTACCCGGGCCCGGGATGGGCCCTGGGCATTGCCATGCGTCCATGACCATGGCTGTCCTGAGGCCCGGCATGTGCCAGTTCCCCAGCTGCCCAAGCAGGGGCGTACAGGGTTCCTGGCCTGGCTTCCCACATAGCCCAGAGGCGTGGGGGTGGGGAGGTCTCCTTCCATGGCCTCAGCAGCCCCTGAGCCTCAGAGGGCTGGAGCAGTGAGCAAACGAGAACTGTAGACACGGGGCGGCCCCAGAGGCCCCGCCCCCCCTGCCTGGGTCAGACAATTCACTGGGTCTCCGGTCCCGTAGCCCTAAGGACACTGCCCTCCTGTTCTGAGAAGGCTGGGAGAGGGGGTGGGTGAGCTCTGTGGCACCCCATTTCCTCATCCATAGATGGCGGCATTCCTCCCCCCTGGTGACCTCACAGGGCAGTGAAAGGAGTCTCCAGGATGGGGTTCAGCCCCCACAGATGGCAGGACTCCCTCACCCAGGGTTGGACACTGGGAGGTGCCAGGGAAGGAGCCCCAAGATTCCTTGGGAAGACTGTCCATTCCGCCTGGCCTTGCCTCCGGGGCCGCAGTCCGGAGAGGCGACTTGAAAAGCGCCCAGGGGCTTGAAGGACAGTGGAAGAGCTCACACGCCTCCCAAGAGCCCAAGCTCCAGGCAGACTCCAGTCCAGGGCTCCCTGTTCTGGGGTTCTGGAGTCTGGAATCCCAGGAACCGGGCTGTGAAGTCCCGGGTTTTGGCAACCCTCCTGCAACCTGGGAAGGAGGTAAAAGCGGTGGCTGGAGGGACAGGCTCCGGAGGGCAGTAGACCCAAGTGCCCAGAGGCCCCACATGGCCTGGCAGCTGGCAGGCGGGAACCAGAAGCCCCTCACTTTATTGTGGTGGAG